GTGCTCCAAACCACTGAGCTAAAAGGTTCCCAATGTGGCAGGACCAGGAATCTTCATGTAATTTATCTTCCACTCTCTGGCAAACATGGTGCTTTTATACTTCCTATTCATGTACAAGAGTGTGATGTCAAAACACAACAAAACAAAAAGCTTTTGGTGTCTTGGCCACACCCCCAAAGGGTTGCAGGTTCCATTCCCAGTCAAGAGCATGTAAGTGGGTTGCAGTTTCACAGGGTCATTTAGGGAACATGTGGGAGGAAACCAATCAATGTTTCTTTCTCCTCTCTCTCTCTCTCTCTCTCTCTCTCTCTCTCCCTCCCTCCCTCCCTCTCTCTCTGTTCTCCTCTCTCTTTTCTCTCTCTCTCTCTCTCTCTCTCTCTCTCTCTCTCTCTCTCTCTCTCTCTCTCTCTCCCTCTCTCTCTCTCTCTCCTCCTTTCCTTTTGCTCTCTCTGAAAACCAATGGAGGACAATATCAAGTGAGGATTAACAAAAATAAGTTCTTGGTTTTGTCCCTGAAACCTATCCTAGTCTTTTCTTTTGCTGGAAATACCACCATCCAATCCATCCCCAATCCTCTTGGTTCCATCTCTAAAATATATTTTGAATCTGTTCACCTCTCTCCACTGCAACCCTTTTAAAAAATAAATATATTTATTTATTTCAGAGAAGAAGGGAGAAGAGAAACATCAATGATGATAGAGAATCATTGATTGGCTACCTCCTGCATGCCCCCTACTAGGGATCGAGCCCACAATCCAACCATGTGCCCTTGGCCAGAATCGAACCTGGGACCCATCAGTCAGCAGGCTGACGCTCTATCCACTGAGCCAAACTGGCTAGGACTCCACTGCAACCTTTTAATCATCTCACCTGGACAACTGCAATAGCTTCCTGAGTGGTCTGTGCATTTATGCCAGTTCACTATAGTCTATTCTCTTCATAGAAGCCAGACAAATATATATATATATATATATATATATATATAGCAAAGGTGGAAATTTATTGAAGAACAAATACAGACTCCTAGGCGGGAAAGGAGAAAGAATCTCATAATACAGACTTCCTACGTGGGGAGGGGGAGAGTCCCCCAGACAAATCTTTTAAAACTACAAAACTACAAAACTACAAATCTGGGACCGGTTTGGCTCAATGGATAGAACGTTGGCTTGGGGACTGAAGGGTCCCGTGTTCGATTCCGGTCAAGGGCATGTACCCTGGTTGCGGGCATATCCCCAGTGGGGGGTGTGCAAGAGGCAGCTGATCGATGACTCTCTCTCATCGATGTTTCTGACTCTCTATCTCTCTCCCTTCCTCTCTGTATAAAATCAATAAAATATATTTAAAAAATAAAAATAAAAATAAATAAAACTACAAATCTGTCACTTACCTGCTTAAAGCATCGGCTTCTTTCCCATTATACTCCATACATTGCACTTTGTGGGGAGGGAGGAAGCAGGTTCTAAAGGCTCTGTACATCTGACCACTGCTAACCTCTCCACTCATCCTCTGTCCCTAGCTATACTGGCTTCTCTTTCTTGAACATTCCAAGCTCTATTATGCCTTAAGGTATTTACCTTTCCCTCTATTTAGAACATTCTTGGCTAAGTCATTTGGCTAAGTCCCTCTGGACCTTCTGGTTTGGGTACCTCCTCAGAAAAATTTTCCCTGACCTTCTCTACCTAAGTGATTTTCCCCACCTCATTCCAACATTGTCCTCTGTCCCTGTGACATGTCTTTTCACTCACAGTCCTTGCTATTTGGCTGTCTTTGACACTAGGCTGTTGGCTTCCCCAGGGCAAGGATCACATCTGTTTCACACACCAGTGTATCCCTGGTGCCTAAGCTTGAGTCTAGTACAAAGTAAATTACTCACTACAGTTTTGTTGAAAGAATAGATTAATTAGCAAATTAATTCTTCATCAACACTCAGAGCCTGGAGAATGTGGAGGGATGGAGCTTGTGAGAGGATACAGAGGATGATGTTCCAGATATGGTCCTTCTATTCCATGATGCCATAATCTGATTTATGAAAAACAAGTAAGTAATGCACTGGCGATCAGAACTGGAACAGAGAGAGGCCCGTACCCCAGTGTAGGATATGTAATTAGAAGAAAACCTGATCCAGGGCACCAGCATCTCCCTAAAAGGACGTGTCTTCTTTAATAATGAATGTTTATCTAGATAGCAAGTTCCATGTACTGTTTCTTGGTTGTTGTTTTTTAAAAATATATATTTTATTAATTTTTTACAGAGAGGAAGGGAGAGGGATTGAGAGCTAGAAACATCGATGAGAGAGAGAGACATCGATCAGCTGCCTCTTGCACACCCCCTATTGGGGATGTACCCACAACCAAGGTACGTGCCCTTGACCAGAATCAAACCTAGGACCCTTCAGTCCGAAGGCCGATGCTCTATCCACTGAGCCAAACCGGTTTCAGCTGTTTCTTGGTTGTTTTTAACGTGCTCACAGTTATAGAGCTGGGATTCAAAGCCAGGCAGTCTGGCTCCCAGACCTACAACCTTTTTCTTTCCACTAATTTGAACTGAAATTCAGACAACATAAAGTTAACCATTTTGAGGTAAACAATTCAGTGGCACTTGGTACATCCACAATATTGTACAACCACCACCTCTAGTTCCAAAACATTTCCATCACTCAAAAATAGAACCCCTTAACCATTCAGCAGTTTACCCATCACCCTCCATGTACTATGTTTGATCCTCACAGACCCAACGTACAACCGCGGAAAGTGAAGCTCTGAGAAGTTTAGTGATAGATCCAAAGTCACATAGCTAGTCAGTGTGGAGTAGTGATTGTGAACCTTAATTTTCGGACTCTAGAGCCTAAACCTTTGATTAATACACGTTTGGGCAAACTCACAAAAAGGGTGTAAGGTCTCAGCTGAGAGGTTTGCGATGCAGAAGCAAGACACGGAATCCAGGCGATTAAAAGGGAAAAGGTTTTTGTTTGTTTTTTTAAATATATTTTATTGATTTTTTACAGAGAGGAGGAGAGAGGGATAAAGAGCTAGAAACGTCGATGAGCCGGGACCGGTTTGGCTCAGTGGATAGAGCGTCGGCCTGCGGACTGAAGGGTCCTGGGTTCGATTCCGGGCAAGGGCATGTACCTTGGTTGCGGGCACATCCCTGGTGGAGGGTGTGCAGGAGGCAGCTGATCGATGGTTCTCTCTCATCAATGTTTCTGACTCTCTATCCCTCTCTCTTCCTTTCATAAAAAAAGAAAAAAAAAGAAACGAAACGTCGATGAGAGAGAAACATCAACCAGCTGCCTCTTGTATGCCCCCTCCTGGGGATGTGCCCGCAACCAATGTACATGCCCTTGACCGGAATCGAACCTGGGACCTTTCAGTCTGCAGACTGACACTCTACCACTGAGCCAAACCGGTTTCAGCTGGACCGGGGTTTTACAGAGTGAATTTTGTTGGGGCAGCGACCTACTGTAGAAGCTGTGAAGGGCACACTCAATTATAAGAAACCGAGTTGACCAATGGACACAAAACTCTGGGGAGGGAGGGCATGTATGGGAGGGGGAGCAATGGTATATGTACAAAGATAATAATTTAATAAAAAATTTTTAAAAAAAGAAACCGAGTTGAACTAATACGGCTCAGGACGGCAGCAAAGCAAGTAGTAATGTGGGCCCAAGAGCAACTCTTGGGGCCTCGGAACGGTCAGCCTTCCAAGAAGCTTTGCGGAAGCCTCAAGAACAATCAGTTGGCGAGTTCCTGGGGCTGCCCCTAAAAGGGCCAGCAGAACAGCCAGCAGGGTGTGGCTTGCCTTCTGCAGGCGGCCAAGCCCAGCCAAGAAACCCCAGGTGGCTGTTTTCGAGAGAAGCTGGTGCAACTGAAGAACCCAGAGTAGGAAGCAGGCCTCAGGCCAATTGCATCCACTCTGAGGGGTCCTCCAGGCCAGAGGACTCTCAGGAAGGCCTCGCTTTCTATGTCTTCCCCCTCCTGGAGGGGCTGTCATCACTCAAGCATAAGGTGACCAGACGTCCTGATTTTTAACAATTTGTCCCGCGTCCCGCGGCGTTTTAAAAAAGTCCAAAAGATTTAAAAGAAATTTTCCAAAAAAATCGGGACTTTTTAAAACGCAGCGGGATGCGGGGCCAAATTGTTAGAAATCGGGACGATCCCGCCAAAAGCGGGACGTCTGGTCACTCTGACAACCCTCTTCCTCAACAGAGGGGTGCCCTCTCTGGGATGTCCCCCTTTCCCTCTGGAGGTCAATGACTCTAGAGTTCTTCCTATTTTAGGGGTCCCAAACAGAGAGCACCCCTCTAAGTTGCCTCTCAGGGTTTCCCCTTACCCCTCGAGTGAGAGTGCTACGGCCCCTCCTGCCCTGAGAATGGAGAGAGAGGTTCTCTCACAAGCCCCCGCCTTCTCCAGGCTCCGGCGGCGGAAGTTCTACTGCAACAATGTGCCGCGTTCGGCCGACAATGCCCTCGGGCTCCCGGCGGGCAGTTCCAGGGAAAACAAAACAAACAGCGCATCTCCGCGGAGGTATCGCGAGAGGCACGCGCGGAGGCGCCGCGGCCCTGCCCCTGAGAGGAGGGCGAGGGCGGGAACAGAGCGTGAAGGGGGCGGAGCCTGGGCGCTTCCGAGGTCGAGGCGGTGGACGGTCCCTCCCAGCCGCGTCCCCGCGTGACAGAGCTTTTACATAATCAAGGCTGCACGCGTCATAAGTGGCGTACTCCAGCGTAGAACCAATCAGAGACGTCGGGGCTGCATATCCCGCCCCTTTGGGCTTGATGGATGTAGGAATGACCAGTAAACAGGTGCCCCCCATCGCCTCGCCCGCCCAGATCCGGCCGCACCCGCCCGCCCGCCGCCGCCGCCGCCGCCGCAGCCCTCAGCCCGCCGCCGCCACCGTAGCCGCCGTCGCCGCCGTCTCCGTTGCCTCCGCCGGGTTGCGCCTCCGACTGTCAGCTAAAGCGGCGGACGGAGCCCGCGGGGCGGCGACCACGGCCCGGGCCGGACATGGCGGCGCTCTACGCCTGCACCAAGTGCCACCAGCGCTTTCCCTTCGAGGCGCTGTCTCAGGGGCAGCAGCTGTGCAAGGTGCGCGGGCCGGGGCGGCGACGCTGGAGGCGCGGGCTGGAGCTCCGGGGCTGCGGGGACGCCCGGCCCGGCGGCGGGGGCCCCGCTCAGGGCGTGGCAGGCTTGCCTCGCTGCGGAGCCGCACCCTTCCCGCGGGGGCTGGCGGGGGAGCCCCAGACCCGGTCCAGGGGCCCCTGGCGGCGTGGCCGCTGCTTAGCAACGGCGGGGTGTCCTCGGACCCTGGGAGGGCGGGGGAGTGGACAGCCGGTCCCCTGCGTGGCCCCGGCCAGCCGCGCCGGAGCTCCTTCGTGGGCCGCCGGGTTGCCGGCCGAGGGGACCCCCTGCCCCGCCCGGGACCTAAGTCCAGAGCCGGGCGCTGCCTGGGAGGAGTGTCCGGAACGCGGGCGCCTCCGGGCTCTTCTCAGCCGGCCTCGGAGGCAGGGACGGAGAGGGTTTTAGAAAAGGCCCCCCACAGTCAAGCGCACGAAGCAAAAGGATGATTTTCTCAACATCCAGTTGCTGACCTACCTGGGTCCTCATCCTAACCAGCTGTTGGTCAGCTTTTACCTTGGAAGGTTTAAGGTCTCTTTTTCGTTTAAGTTGCTTCCTCCTGCTTTCCCTATGTAAGGGGAGAGAAATGACATTATACAGGAGTCTTACATACGTAAGTAATGATGATTTTAACCCAGCACGTTCATCTCACAAGTGAACCTGCTCAAAAATCACACAGTGGCAGTGGCAGAGCTAGACTCGAGTCCAGGGCTTCTGACTCCAGTCTTAGGCTTATTCATACAGACCTTTGTTTTACAGTTCATGACGACTGAGTAGTTCCGTATAAAGTCTGACTTATCTCCCGTGTCAGTGCATTACAGAGGAAAAAAAATAAGGCCCAGGACGTTTAAGTGACTCACTGAAGCACAGTGGCTGTGCAGGGGGTACTGAAGGCTGTTTCCGTTTCTGATCGCCTGTTAAAATTATATCCTCATTTCATTTCAGGAATGTCGGATTGCACACCCTGTTGTGAAGTGCACCTACTGTAGGACTGAGTACCAGCAGGAGAGGTACAGTTTTTGTTGAGCATGAAAAATGTTAATGGGCTTTTTCCTCTTAAAACTTGTAATCAATTTCACTTTACACAGATTCTGCAGGTGTTTCTGTGTGTGTGTGTGTGTGTGTGTGTTTTAAGAGAAGGATTTTTTTTTAATACGTTTTATTGGATATTTATTTATCTATTTATTTTACAGAGAGGAAGGGAAAGGGATAGAGAGTTGGAAACATCAATGAGAGAGAAACATCGATCCGCTGCCTCCCATACTCTCCCTACTGGGATGTGCCCACAACCAAGGTACATGCCCTTGACTGGAATCGAACGTGGGATCCTTGAGTCCACAGGCCGGCGCTCTATCCACTGAGCCAAACCAGTTAGGGCTGGGCAAGTGTCCTTTGTGGGAATCAAATCCGGGACCCTTCAGTCCACTGGCCCACTCTAGCCACTGAGTCAACCGGCTAGCGCGGCAGTTTTTTATTATAACACGTTGATGGGTATTAAATACACATGTTCCCAGTTATGTCTAATTTTGATAGTTTAAAATTTAAAAACAAAAACATTTTTGTTGACTTTTAGAAAGAGAGGAATATATTGCCGAAACCGGTTTGGCTCAGTGGTAGAGCGTCGGTCTGTGGACTGAAAGGTCCCAGGTTCGATTCCGGTCAAGGGCATGTACCTTGGTTGCGGGCACATCTCCGGTGGGGGATATGCAAGAGGCAGCTGGTTGATGTTTCTCTCATCAACGTTTCTAGCTCTCTATCCCTTTCTCCTCCTCTCTGTAAAAAATCAATAAAATATATTTAAAAAAAAAGAAAAAAAGAAAGAGGAATATAAAGGAAGAGAGAAACACAACATGAGAATGAAACATCGATTAGCTACCCCCTGCACCCTCTCCCTGGGCCTGGGGCCTGACTGGGAATCCAACCAGCAACCTTTCAGTAAACCAGAGGACATCCAACCAACTGAGCCACCTAGTTATGCCTAATTTTGATGACTTAAATATTTTAAGTTACTTTTCTTCAGATCCTTGATCATTTTATATTGTGGTTATAATCTTTATGACACCCAGAAACCACAGGAGTTAAATCCATGAGCCTTATGTTCCAGTATGTCTATATTCAGAGTTTGAAGAAGTTATGAGCCAAAAGAAGAAGCTTTTGGAAATGTGGCAATCCTGGAAAAGATTAGCTCTAGTCACATTTGAAACTTGCTTTTAAAAGTGTGAAAAACACTTAGGTACTTAGGTATAAATAAACACATCTTTGTGGGGGAGGGTGCTTTTCTATAGCAATAAAGTGATTTGTGGTGTATTAGTATAGTAAGTCCAACATTTGTGGAACTGCAGCTGTAAGCGACAGTGCCTTAAGCATGGTTGGTCCTATTTGCTAGCTCACACATGGAAACATACAGAATATACTCTAGAAACTTTTATTTTTAGCTTTTATATTTAGGTTTAGGATTCATGTTTAATTTTTTTAAAAATATATATTTTAGTGACTTTTTCTACAGAGAGGAAGGGAGAGGGATAGAGACCTAGAAACATCAATGAGAGAGAAACACTGATCAGCTGCCTACTGCACACCTCCTACTGGGGATGTGCCCGCAACCAAGGTACATGCCCTTGACTGGAATAGAACCCGGGACCTTTCAGTCCGCAGGCCAACGCTCTATCCACTGAGCCAAACCAGTCAGGGCATCATCTCTAATTTTTGTGTGTGGGATAAAATAAGTTTGATCCTTAATTCATACCATACATAAACATTAATTCAAGATGGATCATGGAAATAGTTTTACTTTGCATGTTCTCTAAGATGTCAGGAACACTTGTATATATTGATATCTCACCTCTTCAATAATAAATATAAGTCATATACCAAAATATCAGCATCACAGAATCATTGATGCTAATCCTCTTTTTAGAGGTCTCTCAATGTACTTCACTCCTTTTACTGTCTTCTTAAAATCGCAGAAAGTTGTCCTGGAAAATATTTTCTTTGAATGTCTTGTTTTAATTTAAATGTTTTCTATTTTGAGGTTTTTCTTTTGTCTGTTTTAATTTTCATAGGAATTATATGGTAAAATAATCATAACATAGAGAATAGGCTGGATTCACTATGTTATAATTTTGTGTGATTTTATATTTATCTCCAGAATATTGTTTAAACTGTTCTTGCACATCAATCACTTGTTTGTACATCCCTTTTTGAAGAGCTAGACTTTATTTGAAGATGATTTCTACCCTCCCCTTCCCACAAAAGGGGGTTTATCAGTTCAGGCATATAGGTAATGTTATGTATGAACTCTGGCAAAGGACATTTTTATTTTTGTCAATTTTGGCTCTTAGACAAATGGGAAATATTGACAAAATATCTGATCATAGTATCTATATCGCCACATCTGGGATTTTCATATTTTTTTTTACTTACAGGGGAGAGCATAAATAAAGGTCAACATGGATACAATTTCTGAGTTTCTATTTCAAACATATATATTTAATCTTAACCTCAAATTTTTAACTATTCATCTGAACTAAGGAGAATTAATTTCTTTTCTGTGAGTCCAATTCAGACTAATATAACATTCCTTTTAAAAAGTGTATTTTATAATTTTATTTTTTATAAACTTGAGAGAAAGAAACATCAATGTGATCGGCTGTGTCCCACATGCCCCACAACAGGGGATCGAACCTGAAACCTGGATATGTGCGCTGACTGGTAATCAAGCCCGCCACCTTTTTGGTGTATGGGATGACACTCCAACCAACTGAGCCACACCAGCCAGGGCTCTTTGGTTGATTCTTTTTTTTTTTTTTTTTTTTTTTTTTTTTTTAGTATGTTTTTATTGATTTCAGAGAGAGGAAGGGAGAGGGCTAGAGAGATAAAAACATCAATGATGAGAAAGAATCATTGATTGGCTGCATCCTGCATGCCCCCTACTGGGGATTGGACCCACAACCCGGGCATGTACCCTAGCTGGGAATCGAACCATGAGCTCCAGGTTCCTGGGTCTATAGTCAACTACTGAGCCACAGCAGCCTGGCCTTTGGTTGATTTTCATATGTGTTCTGACTGGGGTCAAACCCACAACCTTGGTATATCAGGTTGATACCCAGCCAGGGCTTTACCATCATATTCTATTGAGGTCCCTCTCCATATCTGATAATTTTACTTAGAGATGTCATAATCACAAATAACTCACTATTTTAAACCAAAGAATCATTTTATCTGCGTTAATAAAAAACTACAAAATAATTAAAAGAGCTCTTGGCCAGATACTCAGTCTTCAGATAAACAGATGTTCAGACTGTATTTCACCTTGGCACAAAGCAATGAGCAAATTGCTTGGGCTTAAGGAGGAACCAGTGTTCAGATGTCTTAACTAAAACAACTTTTTTCTTATAAAAGCCTTGTGTCTCTTTCTTCCTTTACAGTAAAACCAGTACAATATGCAAGAAATGTGCTCAGAATGTGCAGTTGTATGGAACGGTAAGTAGTTTTCTGTGTACCTAACAGTAAGTGCTCAGGTCTCTTAGAACCTTACATTCTGTGAACTATTAATGTAATTACTATATTTTTATTAAAGAACTAATTATGTGTAAATACTTTCTCATAAAAATTTATCTAGTGTTTAAATTTTCAAACTCAGCTAATACTTAGTTTTGAGGAGTTCTGTATTTCCAGTTACTGTTTCAGGCTTGTGATTCTAGTTTTCCTGAGAGGCTACAGTAACCAGTATGGAAAGAGAAGGAGAAAGATGGATTCTAGGACTTGACCTCTTTGGTAGCAGTCAACTATTCTTTTTTTACCCCCATTGATTTTCAGAAAGAGTGGAAGTGGGGAGGGTGGGGAGAGAGAGAAAGAGAAAAACATTGATGTGAGAGAGACACATAGATTGGTTGTCTCCTGGATGTGCCTAGACTAATGCCAGGAATCAAATCTTTAACCCAGATACCTGTCCTTGACTGGAATCAAACCCAAGTCCTTCAGTGCACAGGCCAACGCTCTAATCACTGAACCAAGTCAGCCATTGATGAGTGATTTTTTCCCCCCTCTCAGGGTGAGGGGTTCAGGATACTGTGGTTTTGCAGGCATTTCTTCCAACATGTTTATACAATTACTAGAGGCCCGATGCACGAAATTCATACAAGGGCCTTGGCCCCGGCCTGCCACCACCACAGCTTGGACCTCTGTCGCCTCTGCCTTGGCCCCCGCCTACTGCAGCTTTGTCCAGAAGGAAGGACATCCAGTCTAATTAACATGTTAGGCTTTTATTATCTATACTAATAAATGAGTAATATGCTAATTAGACCGGGAGACCTTCTGGACACCCTTCTGGACAAAGCCATGGTGGCAGGACTAAGGCAGAGTGGTTAGGGCGATCAGGCCAGGAGGGGAGGGCAGTTGGGGGTGATCAGGTCGGCAGGGGGGGGCAGTTGGGGACAAGCAGGCTGGCAAGGGAGGCAATTGTGGGCAATCAGGCCAGCAAGCGGGGGCAGTTGGGGGCGAGCAGGCTGGCAGGCAGAGTGGTTAGGGGTGATCAGCCAGGCAGGCAGGTGAGCGGTTAGGAGCCAGCAGGGATTGGGCCTAAACTGGCAGTCAGACATCCCCCGAGGAGTTCCATATTGGAGAGGGTGCACCAGGCCACTAGTTATAGATAATGGAAAAGAGGCCTTTACCAGAAAATTGGAAGTACTTGCTGGTTTCTTCAAAGAGCTGTTTCTGTCCCAGCATATACACTAATGGATTTTTGTTATTTGTTCATTTATTTATTTTAAAATTAATAGTCCTTCACATAAAAACACTTTACATTGTGCTAGGAATTGGATTTCACTTGACCCATCAATATAAAAGGAATCTTAGGAAGTTTTACCATGACTATGTAATACGAATAATAGCTTTAAAAAAAGGCATTGGTGTTTTATATTATACTTACTTGACCCTTTTTTTCCCTCTTTTAGCCCAAACCATGTCAGTATTGCAATATAATTGCAGCATTTATTGGTAACAAATGCCAGCGCTGCACAAATTCAGAGAAGAAGTATGGACCACCATATTCTTGTGAACAGTGCAAGCAGCAGTGTGCATTTGACAGGAAAGATGACAGAAAGAAGGTAAATCTCTGTTTTTCTTGATCCCCCCCCCCCCTTTCAGAGACATGAAGGTGGTCAATTGTGTTAAAAAAAACCTATAACAGAAATGTATTATAGAATTATGCACCTGAAACATATATAATTTTATTAACCAATGTCACCCCCAATAAATTCATTTAAAAAAGAGAGATAACAGAGAAAGATTTCTTCCACTCTTAATTCTGTTATTGACCTCAAAGAAGATACTCAGCCTTTGTTTACTCCATTATCAAATGTGGACCCTTACATCTAATATCTTATGAGTTAGTATTTCATGAGAACCTGAATTATAGTGATCAATATCCCACAGAAGTGAACTGGTGATTGGCAGAATTCTATAGAACTCTGTAAAGGAGAGATTGTGACTCAAGATGAGTCATGCTAATAGTCATGCTGGCTATTTATTTATTTTTACTGCTCACCCGAAGATTTGTTTGTTTTTATTATTGGTTTGAGAGAGAGAAATATATATGTAAGAGAAATATTGCTCAGTTGCCTCTCTTATGTGCCCACCTGGGGATCGTACCTGCAACTTGGGTATGTGCCCTGACCAGGAATCGAACCTGCCACCTTTTGGTGTTTGTGATGACACTCCAACCAACTGAGCCACACTGGCCAGGCTACTACTGTCTGGCTCAACTGACTTGCCTAAGTTCACTCAGCTCCTAAATGGCAGAGCTGGACTTAGCTCAGAGGTTCTAGCTTCCTATATTCATGTTCTCTAGTATCCGTGTACTTTGTTTCATCTTCTTTATCTCTGTCTCCTTGTCTTTCAGGTAGATGGGAAATTGCTGTGCTGGCTGTGCACACTTTCCTACAAACGGGTCCTTCAGAAGACCAAAGAGCAGAGGAAGCATCTAAGCAGCTCTTCCCGTGCCAGCCACCAGGAGAAGGAGCAATACAGTCGCTTGAGTAGTGGCAGCCATTATAACAGGTAGCCCCCTTACTTGTAAGATATGCCTCGAGGTGCTGATAGGTCAGGTGTAATGCTCACACAGTTAGCCATAGAAGATACCATTATGTGTATATTTTTCTTTTTCTTTTCTCTCTCTCTCTCTCTAATTACTAGCCTATGGAGGAATCTACTTTGTCATATTTTATAATTCATATGTTTTCCAAGAGCCACAGAGACTTTATGAGTTATCAGAATTTTCTGACTTGGTTTGAATTGTGTCTGAAGAGTTTGTGAACTTACTCCGCTTTCCCATGTCTCGTTCTCCTCACTCTTAGAGTCGATTATTTCCCTGGGAGATTGGTCATGCCACTTTCTGAAGGACGTAGCTGTCTGGCCAGGAGGTTGATAGATGTTCTAGGTTTTTCCTGGTAGTGTTGTGAAGAGATCTGGCTCTGGATTGAATCATGGCTTTTCCAGGCTCTCTACATGAGAACTTGGACAAGTTTTTCATCTGTAAAGTGAGAGAAATAATATCATTACCTCATGGAGTTGTTATGAAGATAAATTATATAGTTCATACATAGTGATTAGTTTTATAACTGGCATATAGGAAACATTTGATACATTTTAGTTACTCCTGTTTATTATTACTAATATGTTTGTGTGCGGTCTGGTAGGAAAGGCAGACTTGTAATCAGATCATTGCGGTGCAGTTCTGTGGAAGCATGGAAACATTAATTCCACAGTGGAAACGTCAAGATATAGGCATGAGAGGCAGTGGTACATAACTGCCTTAGGAAGGAAGGCAGGGAGAAGAGCTGGTGTTGGAACTTTATCTTAGGATGTTAGAATCATCAGATAAGGAATGGGCAGAGGCAATCTAGGCTGAGGGAATAGCATTTGCACAAAGACATAGAGGATGTGAAACTACGAGGAACTGTGGTGAATTGAAAATCCTTTTATGTTATTGGAGCTTATGGTTAGGAGCTGGGAAATGGGAGGAAAAGGGATTCTGTAGATCTCGTAAGAAACATGAACTTAATCATGGGGTTAATAAAAAAATTAACCCTGATTATTACGGAGAATACAATAAAGGAAGAAAAGACTGGGGGCTAATTTTTTTGTTGTTGTTGTTTATTTGTTTTTGTAAAGTCCAGGAGAGAGATGTTAATTCCAGAACCTCACTGAGGCCCTGGTCACTGTGGCTCAGTTGGTTGAGCATCCCATGCACCATGTTGGCTGGTTCTCCTGCAACCCCAATAGATGTTTCTCTTGTTTCTCTCTCTCTCTCTCCCTCTCTCCCTCCTTCCTTCCTCTCTCTAAAACAAATAAAACGTGTTTTTTTTTTTTTTAATGGAACACAAACTTCACTAAGGCAGTGGCTCCAAAGAGGCAGATTCAGGAAGATACTTTAGAGCAGGGGTGGGAAATGTCCGATCCCATCATTTGGTCTGGCCCTGCCGAGGCAAGAGGAGTTTTGACCAAATACAGCAGGCTGATTTATAAGTTGGTGTTTTTGTATGGCCTGCAAATGATGTTATAAATATCCAAATGGCCCCTGACCGAAGAAAGGTTCCTCACCCCTGCTTTAGAGGGAGAGGTAGATAATTTGATAAACATATAAATGGGCAGGAACTGGGTGAGTAAAGGATAATTCTCATGTTTCTTAGATTCTTAACTTACAGAGAGTATAGGAAGGGGAGAAGAGAAGTTCAGTTTTGAAAAGGTGAGTTTGTTGAAGCATCAAAAATTATTTAGTGGGAATTTAGCCTATAACTCAGAAGTTTCGATATGGGCCATTAGTTACACTTGTCAGTGAGAATAGAGGTTATTTAAAATGCAGATTCCTTTGTAGTCCCACTCCAGGATTTAATTTAGTAAGGTCTAGGATAGAATCCAGGAATCTGCATTGTTTCATAAATATCCCAGATGTTTCTTAGGTAAGTGATCTGAGGAACACTGTTTCTAACATTATGATAGATAGTTATTGATATAACTCATATTGGAGACTGGGAACAGAACTCTAGAAGCATTCAAGAAGGATAGACTGAATATATTTGATATCCAAAATATATAAACATATAACTCAATAGCCAGGAAGAAAAAAAGAATACAATTTAAAAATGGATAAAGGGCCCAGATAGACATTTTTTCAAAGAAGACATACAAATGGTCAATAGATACATGAAAAGGTGCTAAATATCACTAATGGTCAGGAGAGTGCAAATCAACACCACAATGAAATACCTCTTCACACCTGTTAGGATGGTTATTATAAAAAATACAAGAGATAACAAATGTTGGTCTGATTGCAGAGAAATGGGAACCCTTATACACTGTTAATGGGAATGTAAATTGGTATAGCTACTGTGGCAAAAAATATGGTAGTTCCTCAAAAACTTGAAAATAGAACTACCATATGATCCAGCAGTCATTTCTGGGTACATTTCCAAAGGAAATAAAATCAGTATCTCAGAGAGAGATCTGCAGCTCCAATCAATGCAGCATTTTACACAATAGCAGAGATGTCCAAACAACTTCAATGTTTTTCAACAGACGAGTGGATAAAGAAAATGTATATTTATGGAACATTATCTATGTATACATATAAAAGCCAAGCAACCGACCAGAATGATGGAATGACTGGAACGACTGGAATGCCCAGTCCCTATGACATGCACTTCGGGAAGGGTCAATCAGCCTGATTGGGGGGGAAGGGGCTGCTCCTCCGCCCCTCTCAACCTCCCATGGCCCCTTCCCCTCTTTGGCCAACTTCCTGCAGCCCTTCCCCCTCCAGCCCCGCCCCAATCGGCCCCCCTACCCCATTGGGGTTGGGACCTGCCAGGCCCACCTCCCACGGCCCCTCCCCCTGGCAGGCCAGCTCCTACTTGAGCATGAATTCATGCACTGGGATTCTAGTTCAGCCATAAAAAGGAAGGAAATCCTGCCATTTGTGACAGCATGGATGAATCTGAAGGCATGGTGCTAAGTGAAAAAAGAGAAAGACAGAATATAGGGTGTAACTTTATGTGGAATCTTTTATTAGAAACAGATTTCACAGAAACAGAAGAGTGGTGTTTGCTTGGCACTGGAGGAGTGGGAAATGAGGAGATACAGGTTAAAGGGTACAGACTTTCAGTAATAAGAAGAATAAGTTCTGAGGATCTGCTGAAGCCGGTTTGGCTCAGTGGTAGAGCGTCGGTCTGCGGACTGAAAGGTCCCAGGTTCGATTCTGGTCAAGGGCATGAACATTGGTTGCTGGCACATCCCCAGTAGGGGGTGTGCAAGAGGCAGCTAGTCGATGTTTCTCTCTCATCAACGTTTCTAGCTCTCTATCCCTCTCCCTTCCTCTCTGTAAATAATATATTTAAAAAAAAAATAAGTTCTGAGGATCTAATATATAGCAGTGACTATAATTGATATGGTATTATACACTTGAAAGTTGCTGAAAGTAGATCTTAAGCATTCTCATCATTAAAAAAATGAAAGTTAACAATGTGAGATTATGGGTGTATTAATTACCTTAATCTTGGTAATCATTCCATAATGTATATGTATATCCAAACATCACATTGTACATTTTATTTATATACAATTATATTTGTTATTCCTTAATAAAGTTGGGGGAATAGAAGGATGGCATGGTCAGTGGTGTCAGATATTTGGAAAGAGGTCAAGTGAGAAAGGGTCTGAAGTATCCTTTAAGCTTAGCAATTGGATAACTGTTAAAGCAAAAGGGTTGCAAACCAGTTTTAGAGGATGAACATATTACTTACAGCTAAAACTGATTTTTAGTATTATTGTGGGACTCAGACACACATTTACAGAGAGATAGTGAAGAAAAACGAGTTCAAATATGTCAACCTGGTGTCTAGTCCCAGCTTTACTATTAACTAGCTATACACTTAGTGGCCAGATTATGATGATCTGTGAACACATAATAATCTGGCCACTCAGTGTATATCCTATATAATAAAACGCTAATAAGCAAATTGTCCCCTTGACTAGGAGTTCGACCAGCAGGCAGGCCAGCCAACCGCCCAAGTCCTCTCCCCCTGGCCAGGCTGGCCAGACTCACCCATGCACGAATTCATGCACCAGGCTCTACACATACACACACACACACACTCTGAGTGGCCAGATTATTATGCGTTCGGAGATCATAATAATCTAGCCACTCAGTGTATATTCTTAGGTAGCTCATTAACATTAATGAGCCTCAGTTTCTGCAGAGTAGAAGTAATACCTTGCATATACCTCACAGCATACGAAACATTGAATGTAAAAGTACTTTTTAAACTGTAAGATTTATACTTCTTATTGAACTTCCATTGGCTGTTCTCTGTAATTAGTAAGGCGGGTATTAATTTTATGTTTAAGTGAGGCTAAGAATTTGGGGAGGCTTATGGAAACCAACCACCTATATAACCAGGACCCATGAAATCAAGACCTTGGTGAATTTTGATAATCAAGAATAAATAGCTCTTGCAAAGAAGAGCTATATTATTATTGGACCCATTTGTCACTTTCATTGTGATTTTTTTTTTCTAACATGTATCTCTCTGTTTTTGCCATTAAAAGCCAGAAAACACTTTCTACGTCTTCAATTCAAAATGAAATCCCAAAGAAAAAGTCCAAGTTTGAGTCAATCACAACCAATGGAGACAGGTGAGCCAATTGGAGTGTGTGTGCATGCTTCCATTTGAAATGCATACACAGTTCCTGAAACAGGAATATATTTTAGGGTGTGCTTGGAGCTAATGTATGGTTTTCAGTGAACCTCTTAGGGTCACTACGCCAGCCACTTGATATAAGTAAGCAGTACTGATATTTATTTGTAAATCTAACCTTGTTATTAAATAATAGGCAGGAACATATAACTGGATTTAATAGCAATCATATTCTGCAACCCACCAATAACTCACCACACTAATACTAAGAAATCAACAGCTGGGTGCCTTCCATTATGATCTGTGCCTGCAGCCTCCTCCTCCAGGCAGGATAGGAGGCAGTCTTGAGAGGCAGGGCAGAGACAAGTTAGAGTTCAGGTAGTGTTACTCAGTCTAAGGGATGATCCAGGCTTCCTTAGCTGACAGAAAGACAGTGCTAGATAGAAGGAGATGCATTTAAATTTTTGTTTCATTTTAAGCCTATCTGTATATTTTATGCCTTTCGTCCCTCCTCAACGATGCTTTCTTTTACAGGCTGCACTGTCCTAATACCTAGAGTGTCCCATCTGTGTTGGTGCAGAGGATTGCTTCCCAACAGAGTATTAGACCCAGCCATTTTTTTGTTTTTCCATGGGCCCAGCATCATGAAGTGTTACCAACTGATACACTGTCCCCTGAACCCTTGAAATTATTTCCATTCTGAAGAGTCTTCCCAGTCTCAGTTCTCCCTTCCAGCCAGTGGTGGGTTTGGGAACAGACCAGCATATAGGATTACCAGGGCTGAATTTTGCTTTTTTAATGGGGTACAAAGTGTCTGTGAAGTTTACTCTTTCTGATTACCTCTGCAAGGTGTCTTTTTAACAACTAGCATCATTGATTTAAAACTTCTCAGGTAGTGTTAGTGGGAGGAATCTGTTGAATCCCAGGTTGAGATTGACGCGTGAGTTTGCAACGTCCTTGTTCCTTTCCTCACTAGATGTCCAGAATTCATGCCCTGCCAGGTGCACGATTGCTTGGAACATCATCCCAATATCCTGAGATGACGGGGTTCAATCAACCTGGTTGGAGCACATGCAGGAATCAACCAATAAATGCATGAATAAATGGAACAGCAACAACAAAAGTCACAGAATTCTTGATATTGGAAGTGTCAGTCAACAGACCAGTTGTAGTCTAGGGAAAATGGGCTTGCTTCCTATTAAATTCACCTTTTATCCTTTTTTTTTTTTTTTTTTTTTAAGGACTGACTGTTCATTCTTGGGGTGGAATGTAACAGCTTCTTAGCAGCTGTACCACATCACAGTGCTTTGGGGCAGAAAACAGAGAATCAAAAGAGGAGCTCTATGAGAAGCATTAAAGAAAAATGCATGTGCTTATACTTCTTGATCATTGGTCCAGATTCTAGGGAAATTAATCACAAAAAAATTACATTACCCATAAATAATTGGGGATCTTCAGTGAAATAGGTTGGCTCTTGTAAAATGGCATTTATTTTAGTCCTGAATGTGAGAGGAAATGCTGCAGGAATGCTGCAGGTTGTAGCTTGCTATCTGATGATCACCTTGCCTGCACAGTAGAGCAAATGCTGTTGAGTCTGACGTGTGAGGAACATTGTGCTTAATGCTGGGAATTCACATAGTGGCTCCTCCCTTGAGCTTGCAGTCAGTGGTCTACCATGTGTCCTCAGGTAGAAAAAGAATTTGCCAAGCATTTATCTCAGTCTGTTGGGATTTTGTTTCCAGGTGTATTTTCCATTTGACTCAAACTCATAAAAATTAAGAAGAGGGAAAAAAGAAAAAAGTTTATCCATCCAAGTTATGATTTTTTTTCTATCCATTTTTCTACTCAGCTTTTCCCCAGACCTGGCTCTGGACTCACCAGGCACTGACCACTTTGTCATCATTGCCCAACTGAAGGAAGAAGTGGCCACTCTAAAGAAGATGCTGCATCAAAAAGATCAGATGATTTTAGAGAAAGAGAAGAAGGTATGATTTAATTAGTGCCTCTCAGGCCAGAATGATGACAGGGTACACTATGTGGAATAGGGCATGATGCTAACTCTATTTAACTGTTCTTAGTTGGGTACTTAACATTGATGCTTTGAGAGAGATCCAGTGGCAAGGTTGGGATATCCTGGGGAGAGGTTTGTTGTCTGCCAAGATAACTCATGGCATGGTCTCACTGTAATGGATCCATCCCATTCAAGTGGGTTTAGAAAGTCGATTTTCTCAGCATTTGGAGGGAGCTTCCATTTGCCAGGGAGAACTTGTGTTAACCAGGTTTACAGAGAAAATGGATAAAACCACAGTGCTCCTTCTTAATTTACAATACGGCATGTAACTGAATATCATTTTTCTCAGTATGAGCTGCCTTGGAAGATTGTAATCAAGACAGTGCTAAATGAGCATGGATTTGGGATAGGAGGAGGTAGTTATGTAATTGGAATTTTTAATGCTCTCAGGCTAAGAGAACCTGATGCCTCCATCTCTGTTATTGGGATGGCATGTCCGTGGGACAGTAATACTCAAAATATGTGGGCGAGGTCTCCCTTCTCCCTGGACAGTGTTCAGGTAGGCCTTCCTTTATGACTCTTGTGTCACTTTGCTTCCATTGCTGACAACTCTCTTCCTGAGTGACCCACTTTTTAAACACACTGTGCTCGCTTCGGCAGCACATAGACTAAAATTGGAATGATACAGAGAAGATTCGCATGACCCTGTGCAAGGATGACACGCAAATTCATGAAGCGCTCCATATTTGAAAAAAATAAAACGTTAATATCTCCAGTAAAGCCTTATTCTGTTATATGAGTCATCCTTTCTCTTTAAGGGGACTTATTCCATCCTTGTTCTGATTCATGTCTAGTATTTCTTCACATTCTTCGAGAGTATTTAATTTTTGCCTTAATATATTAATGAAAATAATAGCTAACTTCTGTTGGATGCTTACTATGGGCCTGACTCTATTCTAAGTACTTTATATGTATTAACTAATGTATCTTCATAACAACTCTTTAAGGTAGCAATTATTATTTTCATCTTATTTTTTAATGAAGACTTTTAAAAATTTCATTTATTGATTTTAGAGACAGAAAGGGAAGTATTGATTTGTTGTTCCACTTATTTTCTTTTCATTTTTTTTTAGAATGTCACTATTTTTTTTAATATATTTTATTGATTTTTTACAGAGAGGAACAGAGGGATAGAGAGTTAGAAACATCAATGAGAATCATCAATCAGCTGCCTCTTGCACACCCCCTACTGGGGATGTGCCTGCAACCAAGGTACATGCCCTTGACCAGAATCGAACCTGGGATCTTTCGGTCCACAGGCCATCGCTCTATCCACTGAGCCAGACCGATTTTGGCTGTTGTTCCACTTATTAATGCATTTAATGGTTGATTCTTGTATATACCCTGACAGGGGATCGAACCTGCAGCCGTGGCTAATTGGGCCGACACTCAAACCAACTGAGCTACCCCTCCAGACCTATTATCATTATCATTTTATAGATGAAGAGTGTCTCCAATATGTTTCCTCTTAAGGTTCCAATTCCTTCAATTAGCTGTTTTTCCCTGAGCCTGTATGTTGTCTTGTGCCTGGTTTGGAATGCTGTTACTCATTCCAGGGGCTAACAAAGACATTTATACCTTCAGATGCAGTCTTTCAATCTAATTTCTACCTCATTTTAGATGAGAAAATGGATCCAAAGCAAGTAAATGATGTGTCGTCCAATTCACATAATTAAGTAAATGGCAGAGCAAAGGAATGAATTCAAGTCATTCCCACTGTACTTTTCTTTCAGCTGTGCTGTGCTTTCTTCTTCCAGTAAGATGGAGATTCATGGGAAGAGGCCAATGTTCTCCCACTGTATTGCATGACTGTCAGATGAAAGTAGACTCAAGTATATTTTATTCATGGACTAGATCAGAATGGCACATAAAAGGATTTTTGCAAAATAGAGACAAAACAAACACTTGTTTCTACTGCTTTGCAAAGTTAGGGTTTAAAAGCAGCAAAAAACAAATAGTAGATTGTTCCCTAAAACTTTGAGGATGAAGGTCACACTATTGGCTTGGAATGCAGGCTCTTTCATGTCCTGCCTTCCTGTCTCTAGCCTCATCTCCTATCATTCCCCATGCACATCAGTCATTAGAACAAGCTCTCAGTTATCTCACACTCTGCCTATGCCCTTGCTGTACCCTTGGCTTTGGTGCCCTTCTTTCCAGTTGCTGCTTGTACCTCAAAACTCATCTTACACCTGATTTCTCTGATTTAGATAGCTTTTGTGCTCCTTGAATGACATAGTCAACAGAAGGAAGCCTGGAGTTTGAATCTTAGCTCTGTTACTTGCTAGCCTATATGATCTTGGCTGTGTTACCTAGCCCTTTCTAAGTCTTGGTTTTCTCATCTATAAAATGGGAAGAAGAATATTTCTCCCCATAGGGTTATCATAGTATTGAATGAGTAATTAATCAGTTTTATTGAAATAAGGTAATAATTCAGTACATGGAAACAGCTATTATTCTCATGGATGTTCTCAAATCATCCGTCAGCCTGACCAGTGTGGTTAGTGGTTGAGCATGGACCCAAGAACCAAGAGTTCACCGGTTCCATTCCCGGTCAGGGCATATGCCTGGGTTGCGGACTTGATCCCCAGTAGTGGGTGATGCAGGAGGCAGCCAGTTGATGTCTTTCTCATCGAAGTTTCTATCTATACCTCTCACTCCCTCTCTCTCTAAAATCAATGAAAACATATTTTAAGAAAAAGCGTCAGTCAAAGTGTATTATAATCACTAATTTTTTTTGGAGGTATACATGAAATTTTTCAAACTTGCTAGTGGTTAAGTATCAGAAATGCTACTATAGGATTTTGTGTAATTTTCAGGAAATATTTAGAAAAAAATAAGATATGGAATTCTCTAGCTTTGATTTAGGTATGGATCTTCAGGAAAGCCCTGGACTTTTATTAATTTGGAGTACTATTTAGTTCTCTGGTAACAAAATATTTTTTATTGCACAGAAATTTATTCTGGTTACTTTGCCTTTTCCCTCAGATCACAGAGTTGAAGGCTGATTTTCAATACCAAGAATCTCAGATGAGAGCCAAAATGAACCAAATGGAGAAAACCCACAAAGAAGTCACAGAACAATTGCAGGTTATGATTGCTCATTTTATGTAGTAACTTGTGTGTTTAATTGATTACATTTTAAGTGATCATCTCTTAGATTTATTTTTTTTTCAAATATTGACAAGTCTAATCCACCTTATACATGTCTTCTATGGTTTCATTCTTAGATGAGTTCTGATCTTTTCCCTTCAAAAACAGAGGAATTAATATTTTCTTTTAATTTGGGATAAAGCAGATGTAATTCCAGATTTCTGAATTATAAATTCTGTTTTTCCAGCATATTAGGGCACTCCATGGCTTGTTTGTGTTGCATAAAACATCTTTTGTAACAGTGGATCCCAGGAGGTTGGAGTATATTGATTAACCTCCTGCAAATACCTTCGTTCCCCATACCTAGCTCTAGAGTTTGCTGTTTTCTCTAAAATATGTTCATCTCTTTCTGACCATCTGCATCTGCATGGAAAATGTATCTGATCCTGTTAAAACATCCTTCTTGCACTTTTTTTTTTTTTAAGGCCAAAAACAGAGAGCTTCTGAAGCAAGCAGCTGCCTTGTCCAAGAGCAAGAAGTTGGAGAAGTCAGGAGCTATAACCTCTCCGTGAGAGACCACAAGGAGGTTCCCCAGCAACAGCAAATGGGTTCCTGAGTTAGGGTTGGCAACTTAGGAACTCCAAGTGTTCTTCAGAAATCTCTATTTTATTACAGTTAGCCTTTGTGTGATTGCAGTGGCTGGATGGAAACACCTGGTTTTCACCGTGTTACGACTGCATGCTTGAATGTTCGGAGTTTCAGGCTCTTTTTCTCTCACTCTCACACTCCCAATCCTCTCTCCTCCCTTTCCCTCACTTTCTCACAGTACTACTAGCTCTGTCTCTCTACTATTTTCTCCTCCCCTCCCTCCCTCCCTCCCTCCCTCCCTTCCTCCTCCTCCTCCTCCTCCTCCTCCTCCTCCTCCTCCTCCTCCTCCTCCTCCTCCTCCTCCTCCTCTCTCCCCCCCCCCCCCCCTCTCTCTCTCTCTCTTTGTGATGGTTACTGCTCAGTGTTATGTGCAGAATGTTGTTTTTTTGGTCCATCCTTACATCCTGCCATACCCATGAGCAAATAGTCTGGCATTAATTTCATATCACTGCCACCCTCTTAACTTTGAAAACTGCCACCTTGAAATTTGGTATAATGGACAAAGCTTTCTCTCTCCAATAAACCTTTCGCTTCAGGGTATACTCTTGGGTTTATTTCCAGGTATATTATGTGTGAACTTTGTACTATGTATAGCCAGAATTTTATTTATTAAAAAAATTTTTTTTTCTTGGTAAAGGAATAATGGTAGCCTAGCTTGTTCTTCTTGTAAAAGTGATGCCTCTTTTTTTTTTTTTTTTTTTTTTTTTAAATCCTCCAGCTTTTAGTAAAAGAATCAAATCTCTTCTTTCTTGTTACCTTGGAGTCTTAAAAACTGATTGTTAAGGTGAAACAATTCAGTGCATAAGTATGGAGTTAAGTGCCTTTTGGAGGATTTCTTGGAAGAGCATTTAAGAAGATACTTAGGGAGGTAGCAAAGTTTTGAATGGTCTGTCTTTATAAGTAAGGGCAGACAGAAAGGTTGTCCAGGTTGTACTGGACACTTCCCTACCCACCCCTTTTCTGATTATTTTTATGTGACTGATTTTAAATTCTCACACAGCCACTTCTTTTAACAAAAAAACAAAAACCCTTACTTGCTTATATCAGTTGTCATATTTGGCCATTGTCAGAGAACTTTTTTTTACATGAGCAGATTCAAAATGGGATAATACTTAAACTACAGAACTTTCTGGAGGTCAGTACAAGCTGCTCAAGTATGACTCTGAGTCTGGTTGAAAGAAATGATATCCCTGTAACTTCTCCCTTCCTCCCCTTCTCCAGCCTGTATGCTCCCTGCTTTTAACAGAAAAGCATGGAAAACAGGTGCTGTTCTCAGAAGCAGCTTGGTCTTAGCCAGAATTGTTCATGTCCTATTCTCTCTTCTTGACCCAATAAGCAGGCACATGGTTTTACTTTTTTAGGAGAGGGGATAAGTTTGCATTGCTAGCCTTACTCTCAGGTCTTCTATATGATGTTTGTGAAAGAAATTAGAGGCATGTAGTGTGCCATGATACAGTAAAACCAGCTATCCTGGAATCATTAATGCAAGGGGGTACTTGAGTTAGAGGTAATCATGAGAGGAGATGACATTTGTACCTCAGTCTCCCGATATTGTAGCAGGAAGTTTAACTTTCTAGGCATTTCCTAGAAGCAAACATGTATCAGAGTGATAGCATTCTCACCAGTGGATCCACGCGTACAACGGGACAGATTGGAAATGGGAGGCTTCCTTCTGATAAGAGAAACAATAGACCATGCTGTTTCTATATCACTCTAGTAAGGGATGTAATTTTTCCCTCCAAGCAAGGGAAAAGGCAGTGCTAAATAGTTTTATAACTTTTTGAATGAGAAACTTTTAGGTTAAGACAAACCGTCAGATAATATTTTTCAAATGCATATATGTTGACTGTGGGGAAAAGATTGTAAAAAAAAAAAAAAAAGTTACAGTCATGGTTTTTGTTTAATTTTAAAGACTTGAGAAATTCTGTTACATGAAGTGACAATATAAAAGCATATTTTATACTAAATCATTTTTTAAGATCTTGGCACTTAATATAAAGCAAATTCGCTCATTTTCTAACTTTCTACAAGTTCTAAAAAGGGAAGGAAGAAACCTCAGTCTTGCAATTTTGGTTTTTAAAAATCATGACACTGTTTTACCATGAAATTGAGTAGCTAACTTTTGGTAACACCTTTTGTTTATTTGTATGTTTGTGATAAATGGACATTTTAAAACAGGAATGTTTTGGTTTGTACAGACTTTGACAAATGTGTGTTAATAAAAATTCATATCGAGTCAAATATAATCATTGGTGTGGGTTTTTTTCTCATTTATTCCTGCTGGTTCACCAGTAAATTCTATTATCCCCTTCAGCTTAGAAAACAGTCAGTTTTGGCCAGTGAGTGTAGCTCAGCAGTTGACCTAGGAACCAAATGGTCGCTATTTGATTCTCTTTCAATCATCAGTCAGAGCACATGCTCTGGTTGTGGGCTTGATCCCCGGTAGGCAGCCCATCTCTATGATGTTCCTCTCTCATTCAAGTTTCTATCTATTCTTCCTCCGTTCTCTCTAAAAACCAATAAAAAACCATATAGCCCTAGCTAGTTTGGCTCCAGCGTCTGCCTGCAGACCAAAGGGTCTCGGGTTAGATTCCACTCAAGAGCACATATCTTGGATGCAGGCTCCTCCCTAGCCTTGGCCCTGGTCAGTACTTGTGCAGGAGGCAACTAATGGATGTGCTGCTTTTGCATAGATGTTTCTATTTTTCTCTAAAAAAATGGAAGAATGTCCCCAGGTGAGGCTAAACAAATACACACACACAAATACCTGTATGTAAAAAAAGAAAACAGTTCGTCTTGCTTGTCAATCTAAAAATGTAAAGTCTGCCCTATCCAGTGTGAATCGATTGGTTGGGCATCATCCCATACACTGAGGGTTGCTTGTTAATTCCTGGTCAGGGCACATGTTTGGGTTGCGGGTCCTCCCTGGTAGTGGGTGTGCAGGGGGCAGCCTCTCATTGATGTTTCTCTCTTACTCTCCCTTTCTCTCTCTAAAAAAATAAAAATACTTTTAAACAAATTTAAAAGCCTACCTATGCTAATCGAGAGTTTCAGGTCCATCAGAGAACAGCTCATTCTCTTTTGTGATTTTATTTATCCAGTTTAAGTGCTTGCTTTGTTACAAGCACTGTGCTAGGCAGTGAGTATACAGCAGTGAAGAATAACCACAAAGTTACTGACCTCATGTGGCTTCTAGTTAAGTGAGATATTGAACAACACCATTGTTCCTTCATTTTATATTTTATCATTGTTATTCAAAATATAGGCAGAAACCAGTTTGGTTCAGTGGATAGAGCATCGGCCTACAGACTAAAAGGTCCCAGGTTCGATTCTGGTCAAGGGCATGTACCTTGGTTGTGGGCACATCCCCAGTAGGGAGTGTGCAAGAGGCAGCTGATCGATGGTTCTCTCCCTCTCTCTTCCTCTCTGTAAAAAATCAATTAAAAATATATATATAAAAAAATATATATATATAATATGAGAGGAATCTTAAGATATGAATGAAAGGTTTTTGAGATACCATCTTAAGGAGAAGAATGTGTTAGTTTGAAACCTTGTTGTTAGTTTAATAATAGGTACCTTTCAGGTACTATCACATCCTGTTACATTCTATTTTATAGACTCCATGACAACTTATTTTCTCTAAATAAGTTTAAGATAGCTTTATTTTGTAGGTGCTATGGTCTGAATGTTTGTGTTCTCCCCAAAATTCATATGTCAAAATTCTAACCCCTAACAATGATAGTATTAGGTGATGGGGCCTGTGGGGGGGAAGGGGGGCTTAGGCTCTGCCTTCATGAGTGGAATTACTGCCTTTATGAAGGAGGCTCCAGAGAGATTTCTTTGAACCTCTATTACGTGAGGCCACAGCCAGAAAAACCTGGCTGTGAACTAGAAAGAGGGCCCTTATTATAAGGCAACCATGCTAGCAGCTTGATCCTGATCTTTCCAGCCTCCAGAACTGCAAGAAATTTCTTGCAGTTTATAAGCTACCCAGTCTGTGATTTTTGTTATAGTGGCCCAAACAGACTAAGACTGTAGGCTATGTTTATGACCACCTTTATTGTGTAAATTATCTTTTTTTAAAATATTTTTTATTGATTTTTTTACAGAGAGGAAGGAATATGGTTAGTTAGAAACATCGATGAGAGAGAAACATCCATCAGCTGCTTCCTGCACACCTCCCACTGGGGATGTGCCCGCAACCAAGGTACATGCTCTTGACCAGAATCGAACCTGGGACCCTTCAGTCCGCAGGCTGACGCCCTATCCACTGAGCCAAACTGGTTAGGGCTATTGTGTAAATTATCTTAATTTATACATTTATTCAGCTTTGTACATTTATTTAGCAATAAGAAAGACCAAACCCCTGACCAGTGTGGTTCAATTGGTTGGAGTATTGTCTCATGTACCAAAGGGTGGTAGGTTCATTTCCGCTCAGGGTTCATACCCAGGTTGCCATTTGATCCCCAGTTGGGGCACATGGGCAAGAGGCAACCAATCACTGTTCTCTCCCTCTCTTTCTTCTTCTTCTACCTTTTTCTTTCTCTAAAATAAATACACACATATACATATCCTGGAGTGAGAATTAAATATATATCTTATATAATAAAAGGCTACTATGCAAATTGACCAAACAATGGACTAACTGGTCGCTATGATGCACACTAACCACCAGGGGGCAGATACTCAATGCAGGAGCTGCCCCAGGGTGGTCAGTGCACTCCCATAGGGAGAGTACTGCTCAACCAGAAGCCAGGCTCACTGCTGGTGAGTGCAGTGGTGGTGGCAACGCTAAGCTGTCAGTGGGACATCCCCTGAGGTTCCTAGACTGTGAGAGGGCACAGGCCAGGCTTAATCTTTAAAAAATGCTATTTTGAACCTTCCTATACTTGGTTTTTGAAACACATATGTGTGCATATCTGCTGACTTTATAGTTAGGAGTAGAATTGTGGAGCCATAGAATATGTATGATCAGCTCTACAACATACTAGCTATATGACATTGGACAAGTACCTAGAACCTCTATACAGAATCAGTTTCCTTATCTGTAATCAAGGAGCTAATCTCATCTTGCTGGGTGCCAACCATGAAAACTGTTTTTATCAATTCACAAAAGGACACAATGCTACTCATTCTTTACAATCACAGAGTTCAAGAAAACTTGCAAATTGAAATATCAGGCAGAATGGAACATTCTCGCCTATAGGGTCTGAGTTATTTTAACACAGAGAAGCAACCTCAATTTCCAACCCAAGTGCAAAGCTTCAGATAAGGGGTTTCCAGGTACAACATTCCACATTTATCTTCACCTTGTAGTTTCCAAGGAAACAGATCTCGAGTCCTCTTATCAGCTCAGGCCTGATGAGAATATCTTTACAAATAGCCTGGTGTGCTTTGGGTCTATATCAAAAGAATTCTTTTTAAATATATATATATATATATATATATATATATATATATATATATATATATTATTGATTTTTTACAGAGAAGAAGGGAAAGAGATAGAGAGCCAGAAACGTCTATGAGAGAGAAACATCCAAGCCATGCCGTCTGCGCCGGTCACCGCAGCCCTCTGGCTTCCCGCTGGCCGGGGGGGGGGGGGGGGGGGGCAGCAGAGCCTGCCCGCAGGGCCTGGGCCGAAGGGTGGCCAGGGTGCTCCACCTGGAACCTTCTTTGTAATAAAAGCCTCATGGGGAAAAAAAAAAAAAAAGAGAGAGAGAGAGAGAGAAACATCCACCAGCTGCCTCCTGCACACCCCCTACCAGGGATGTGCCCGCAACCAAAGTACATGCCCTTGACCGGAATCGAACCTGGGACCTTTCAGTCTGCAGACTGATGCTCTACCACTGAGCCAAACCAGTTTCTGCAGAATTCTTTTAAATTTTACCTACACTCCATTCCCCTCCCCCAAATCCTTGGATAACAATCTTCCTGTGCTTGGGGTGATGCTTCAAGATTCCTCTGTGTGCAGTCTCCCTTACAGCATTAAGTTAATAAACCTAACTTTGTCAGACCACACGAGGTCTTTATCTCATGGGCTTTATCTTGGGGATTACTGATAAATGTTTGCAAAATGTGTTCACGTCGCCTGAGTAAGCATTTAGGAAACTGTGACAGTTTTTTATTATTCACGTATAAATTTGACATCTAGTATTTGCAAGGTAAGAAAGTGTTGCTATGAAAGAATACACAAGGCTCTGGCCAGGGAGCTCAGTTGATTAGAGCACCACATTGGGAAAAAGAGGTTGTAGATGGTTGGAGCACACACAAGAAGCAACTTTCTCTTCCATTCTAAAAATCAAACCAAATAAAAAGTGGCTGTCCACAAACACACACACTCACACACACACACACACACACACACACACACACACACACACACACAGTGGCTATCCATCTGTATCCTGTGCTATCCTTTCTTTTCTTTTTTCAAAACTTGATTTTAAAGAGAAAGAAAGGAAGGGAGGGAGAGACAGAAACACTATTTATTGTTCCCCTTACTTAGGCATTCATTGGTTGCTTCTTTTTTTTATTATTATTACTCAAAAAAGCTTCATTTTAAAATTTATTTAGCTTTCTGACTCTGTGTTTATGCCTTCAACACTTTCACCACGATTTTCTGCTCCTCAATAAGGAAAGCACGCTTGATCCTGTCACGGACACATTTAGCACACCTGGATCCACCATAGGCCCTGCTGACATGTTTTTTCGTGTTAGACAACCTCATTAGAACTTGAGGCCTCACAGCAGGAACTCCTCGAAGTCAGCGTGGGCACACACCACATGCAGATTTGGGTGCTTTCCCAACCTCCTTGGTGTGAAGGTAAACAATTCCATTACCGGGGGTCCGGGACGGTCTAGTTTTGTTAGAGGCTGTACGGTAGGACAGCCTCCGGCGGTCTATCAAATGCTGGACCATGGTGAATGCCTGGAGTCACCGTCCCCGGAAGAGGGCATTGGCTGCTTCTTGTATGTGCCCTGACTGGGGATCAAACTTACAACGTCGGTGTACAGGGATGATCCTCTAACCAACTGAGCTACTCAGCCCGGGCAATAACCACTTTTTATTTTATTTTATTTTTTGTTAATCCTCACCTGGGGATATTTTTCCATTGATTTGAGAGAGAGTGGAAAGGAGGGAGAGAGACAAGAGAAACACTGATGTGTCTGTGAGAGAGACAGACACAATGGCTGATTGCCTTCCACATGCACTACGAGCAGTCCAACCAGGGCCCAGGCCAGGGATTGATTGAGCCTGCAACTGAGGCATGTGCCCTTGACTGGAATCGAACCCGAGACCCTTCAGTCTGCAAGTTGATGTTCTATCCACTCAACCAAACCAGCTAGGGCCCACTTTTACGTGTAGATGGAGAAACAATAACAACAACCAGTGGCTTCCATGGCTAAGAGAAAAATACCTTTATTATTTCACTTTACAGAGTAAAATGTAAATGAAAACATTCTAAAGATTCTTATAGTTTTAAAAAAGTACAATTTATTATAAGATGACATAAAAGCATGGGTTCTAGGAAAAGTTAGGGCTTTAACCAGAGTGAAAGCCCCAAAATGTTATTTGTCTTTTTCTATAGAGAAAGAAATGTTGTTATAAATGTTCCAACAAAAATACAGATAACTGCCGGGACCAGTTTGGCTCAATGGATAGAGCGTAGGCTTGGGGACTGAAAGGTCCCGGGTTCGATTCCAGTCAAGGGCATGTACCTTGGTTGCGGGCATATCCCCAGTAGGGGGTGTGCAAGAGGCAGCTGATCGATGACTCTCTCTCATCGATGTTTCTAACTCTCTCTCTCCCTTCCTCTCCGTACAAAATCAATAAAATATATATTTTTTAAAATACAAAAAAAAAAAAAAATACAGATAACCCTAGCTGGTTTGGCTTAGTGGATAGAGTATCTATCGACCTGTGGATGGAAGGGTTGTGGGTTTGATTTGATCAAGGGCACATGCCCAGGTTGTGAGCTCAAGCTCTAGTAGGGAGCATGCAGGAGGAAGCCAATCAATGATTCTCATCATTGATGTTTCTCTCTCTCTCTCACTCTCTCCTTTCCTCTCTGAAATCAATAAAAATATATTTAAAAAAAATAGAGATAGACTAGCTCGCAAAAGCTCTAAGGCTGAATGCATTCACCCATTTGGGGTACCCTCCAGCAAGCAGCTTCCTCTCTTTACCATTCCCCAGAGACTGCAAAGCAGGCTGGGGTGCGGTGGTGTGAACACAGGAAACACTATTCCTGTCATCGGTTTCCCTCCACCCAGTTCCCCTTCACTTCTCCCTATCTGGAGCTACGTAGTCAAAATCCTTCCCATGTCTTTTCACTTACCACAAGCTTATAAGACGCCATCTTATTTTTTTAAAGTTTTATTATTTATTAATTATTGTATTATTTTCATAAAAACAACTGTAAACCTACTTTTGCCCCACCCTGTATAGTGGTAATTCAGAGAAGAAAGGAGAGGAAGAAAGAGATAGAAACATCAATGATGAGAGAGAATCATTGATCCGCTGCCTCTCGCATGCCCTGCACTGGGGATCGAGCCCACAACCCAGGCCTGAGCCCTTGAAGGGAATCAAACCTAATCCTTTCAGTCCAGAACCGAAGCTCCATCCACTGAGCCAAACCAGCTATGGGAAGAGGTCATGCACTACAAATTACTTAAAGAAATTATTTAAAAATTTTGAGGGTTTACTTATTCAAGAAATCCTGGTTTGGGATGCACATGAAGAAGCTATTTGGAAGAAATTTAGATGAATAATGAATTTGGGAATATGAGAATGCATTTTAGGGTAGTGAGATGACAATGGAGTTAGCTTAGTGCTTGGGTTTTGCAGTCAAATTCACCTCTGTGGTGTTTCTCAATTGTAAAAGGGAAAATAACGACGCTTACTTTGTTCAGTTACTTTACTTCAACATTTAAAAAATGAATTGTACATTATCTGTTCTTAAGGTAAAAATATAGTTAGAGCCTTAACCAATTTGGCTCAGTGGATAGAGCGTCCGCCTGCGGACTCAAGGGTCTCCGGTTCCATTCCAATCCAGGGCATGTGCCTTGGTTGCAGGCACATCCCCAGTGTGGAGTGTGTAGGAGGTAGCTGGTCGATGTTTGAACATGGTCCCTTGCTGTGAAAGAGCTTATGAACAATTGAACTGCAGTGATGATTCACGCATAGTTTGTGCTTGATAAATCTTATTATTTTATAGCTTTGATTAGAAGAGAGGTGGAAGGAGCAATGAAAGTGATTTTTAAACCATAAAAGTGCTCCAAATCCTAACAAAGCCATAGAGGATGAAAGTAGAAGGAGGAATTTCAGGAGTTTGGTTAAAGGACCCGAGTTTCAACATTGCCTAATACTCCCATATTTGGGCCTGCGTTCTCAGAATAGAACAGAAAAGGATGTTAGAGCTGAGCTCATCCGGAACAATTTTATGCTAATCGAAAATTCTTGCCTCCTGGCTCCGTGCTCAGCCGAGAAACAACACCGCACCCCCAGCTCCTCCAATCCCGGCTCCAGCGATGTGACGTCATCGCCCCGCCCCGCATTCCGGCCCCGACTCGGGCCTGTAAAGGGTTCAGTCCCAGCCGCGCATGCGCATTGTGGGGCAGGGCGGGGCGGACGCATGCGCACTGCGTGGGGGCGGGGTAAGTGCGCACGCAGCCTCAGCCCCTTCCCCGCCCTTTCTTTTCCCGGTTTCCCAGTCAGCCTGCGGTCCGGTTCTGCGGCTGCTTCCGGTGGGGCCGCCGAGCGGGGCGAGTCGGTCTCAGCTCCTCGCCATGTCCTACGGTCCCTTAGACATGTATCGGAACCCGGGGCCCTCGGGGCCCCCGCTTCGGGACTTCAGCAGCATCATCCAGACGTGCAGCGGCAATATTCAGCGGATCAGCCAAGCCAGTGAGCAGGGGCCGAGCCGGGGGGTGGGGGCCGCCCCGGGAACAGGCCTGGGCGAGGCTGCTGGGACGCGGAGCCGGACCGGGGCTGCGGTCAAGGCCATACCTGAAACCGTGTCGGGCTTGCCACTCTGGCGATGGCGAGCTGTCATCCCCCGGTCTTGTCAGGCCCGGACTCCCCAAGGGTCCCAAGCCCCCGCTGGAAGGGAGCTCGAGCCTCTTAAAGAGTTATGCCCTCCTGGTGTTGGGGCCAAAACAGCAGTCCTGACAGCCCCAGGGTGGGAGGGTGTGTGTGTGTGTGTGTGTCACCTGGAGATCCATGACTGAGTTGACTTGGCACAGTGATCAGCCGAGTATTTCCTGACATCCGCTTCCCTCCACCCCGCCCCCACGCAGTGGGTCCCCCACCTCCCTTTTCTCTTTGATCAGTTTGCATCGCTGGTTGTTTACTGATTTGGACTTTTAGGTTTACATTTTGCTCAGCTCCGGCTCCTTGGAAATCAGCAGTTTTCAATGAAGGGAAGTGGAGAGAGAGTGCGTGTGTTTGGGTGACTTAAAACAGTCCTTCCTCTAATGAATTTGGGAATCAGACACAGTGACTTGTATTTGAGGAGTAAGATGACTTCTGTTCTAACGAGGAGAATTCACCGACGACATTTCAGTTGACATTCTGCCTTTCGTAGCAAAAGATTTGCATATATAGTTGTATTTCAAGCCTCTGAGGCATTTGTTTACAAATCTGACCCACCGAGAAGCTCTGGGACTTGGCCACAATCACATAAGTAAGGCAAGGTAGAGCCAGTGGTGGACTTCAGAATGTCATTGTTTATCTTAAAACGCCAGTCCCCACAAGTAGGGTCTGAGGGAGACTATCTGAATGAGTCAAATACTGGCTATTTCTTGTGCCTGGAAATCAGCCCAGAGCTTTATAGACAGGAGGTCAGCAACAGCAACTTTATTTGCAAAAATAGTGATCATCTTTGTTTGCTGTGTTTTTGTGAGCTTGGCTGTACTGTAGTAGGTAGAACTAGTTGATTCTGAATTACAATTATTTTCTGTGTTAAAGAACAGTCTCTCACTTTGCTTTTAAATGTAAATACACAGTGTACAATTTGAGAAGTGGGAAGTTTCTGATGGGAAGGGATTGAGACTGGGTGATTTGAAAATGGAAAGAAGAGTAAGTGGCCTGTTTAATCCAGGCATTAAAATTTTTTTTAGTATGACCACTGGCTAGGAAATACAGTACTTTGTGTTGCAATTTCTCGTTGTGAGGGAGCTGTAATACAGGTTAGATCGGAAAATTCTGGTTCAAGGTTGAAAGTTTTTTGTTGGGACGAAATCTTATTTTAATGTCTGTGAAATCATTCTACATTTGAGTATCAGGCTATGTGTTAAATACTATAGGAACTGGCATGGATTCTTTCAAAAGGGTTTAAATGGAATACATAACTGAAATATAAAGTTGAAAGGAATCACTATTATAGAAGAGGTATAAACATTATGTAGGTATTCAGGGGAGAGAGATCATTTTTCAGTTGTAAATGGTCTAGGAAGGTATTATGGCATTTGAGCTAGGTCTGGTAAAGTGATGGGAAGGATTTGAACTTTTGACAGTAAAGAGGAAGAGCATTCCAGGGAATAATAAAATGAATAAGTGATGGTGGTAAGAAAGCATGAGTTGAATATAGAAAATTAAAGAGATTTAATTTGGCTAGAGTGATGGACTTAAGAAAGTAGTGGAACATAGGGTTGGAAAGGTAAGTTGGGGTTCAAACATGAAGAGCTTTAAGTGCTGAATTAGGGGGAGTTAGATTTAATTCTTTAGGAATGTGTCAATTGAATTGGAAGGGAGACACTAGGATCAGAGACACCAGTTAGGGGCTGTGACAATAAAAAGGAGGGGAAGAATAGGAGAGGTTTCTTTGGTGATAGAATTGAGAAGATTTAACTGTTGATTGGGAATTGGGCTCAAGGGACATTGGAGTCAACCATTAATAACATTACTAACTAACATTTAGGTATATACTGTGTGCCAGGCAGTATGAAACATTCTTTACATGCATTCTATTACTTAATATTATGGCAGCCCTGAAATACAGCAGGTCACGGTGTGGGTTGTTACAGGTACAGCCAGGATTGACTGCCCTGGACAGAGCGTTGTTGTTAGTATGTGTGGGGTAGAGAAGAAAAATACTTGATTCTGCCTGTTGTGGAATGAAGGGTCTGAGCAGGTATTGCTGAGGCAAATATAGGAAAAATAATATTAGCCTCTAAGACTTAACAATAGAGTCTAAGTTATCTATGAAGAAGTTAAAAACAGCATTTCTGTTCTTTAATATTGCTAATTTATTGACATTATTTTGTTTACTAAAAAATAAAAAACAGTTGAACTTTTAAAACTGATTATCGTGGAACTCTGTAGGTTTTTCTTTCAAAGTTCTTTTCTTTTTTTTAAATATATTTTATTTTTTAAAATATATATTTTATTGATTTTTTACAGAGAGGAAAGGAGAGAGATAGAGAGTTAGAAACATCTATGAGAAACATCGATCAGCTGCCTCTTGCACACCCCCTACTGGGGATATGCCTGCAACCAAGGTACATGCCCTTGACTGGAATCGAACCCGGAACCTTTCAGTCCGCAGGCTGATGCTCTATCCACTGAGCAAAGTTATTTTCATATGTGCCCTTTGCTTTTTATTTTATTGCCATCCTCTCAAGTTTTCATGATCTCAGCATCTGTATTCCAACAGCATTCTCTCAGTGTCTGTTCCCATTCTAGCTCATCCTGATAATGCTATCTGTGGTATGTCTAAACCAAAATCCTGTTTCTTATACCATTCACCTTCTCAAGAGCCTAAGTGGCTTTGATTTTTTGCTGCATCAGATCTTAACATTCCTGGCTTTTACCCTCTCTGTCATCTTAACCCAAATTAGCCATATTGTCTACTTTTCTATACCCTTTGCTTTAGGCTTCTTAACATACCTAAACACTGGCTTTTGCTCATTCTGTTCTTTTTTTTTTTTTTTTTTTTTTTAATATATTTTATTGATTTTGTACAGAGAGAAAGGGAGAGAGATAGAGAGTTAGAAACATCGATGAGAGAGTCATCAATCAGCTGCCTCTTGCACACCCCCTACTGGGGATATGCCCGCAACCAAGGTACATGCCCTTGACCGGAATCGAACCTGGGACCCTTCAGTCCCCAAGCCGACGCTCTATCCATTGAGCCAAACCGGTCCTGGCTGTTCTTCTTTTTTTAATATCTTTTTCTACCTTACTAGCTATTCACATTATACAAATTGGGTAGTTAGTTGTACTTAACTCCTGCCACTTGTTAACTAAGCCTTCCTTTGCTTTTGACAGTGAAATCAAGAAGCATGAGCTTTAGGATCAGTAGGTCTGTGACTGAGTCTCTGCTCCTCTGTGTACTGTTAACCTCGAACAGGTTATTTCCCCTTTTCTCTGTTATCCCATTTTAACCATGAATAGTGTTAGTTAAAATGGAATGTTTGCAAGTGCTTAGTATAGTGTCTGGCACTTAGTCTAGCCATTCAGTAAATTGTAGTATTATTGGTTTAGTTCCCTGCCCGACTATAGTTTATTAGTTAGATGAGCAGGCTCAGAAGTCAGGCCAGCCGAAACCGGTTTGGCTCAATGGATAGAGCGTCGGCTTGGGGACTGAAGGGTCCCAGGTTCGATTCCGGTCAAGGGCATGTACCTTGGTTTCGGGCATATCCCCAGTAGGGGGTGTGCAAGAGGCAGCTGATCGATGACACTCTCTCATCAATGTTTCTAACTCTCTATCTCTCTTCCTGTCTGTACAAAATCAATAAAATATATTAAAAAAAAAAAAAAGTCAGGCCACCTGTATTTGAATCCTAGATGTGCTTCTTACAAGCTATGTAATATATTACTTTACCTCTCTTTTTCTTAATTTTTTTCATCTATTAAATAGAGTTAATAATAATATCTACTTCATAAGGCTATGAGGATTAAATGTAATGTGTTTAAAACAGTACCTGCAATAATAGTGTTTAGGAAATTTTAGCTATCTTTTATTTTTCTTTGAATTTGCAGGCAATTTGTTTTCATAGTTTCACACTTACGTACTTATATTCTGAATTCTTTAGTTAATTAATGCTTTTTGACCTTGTTATTCCAACTAGAGAGATCACTATTAATTTTATGGGAATAGAGAGACCATGTAGTGTACATTTCTCTTCAATTAGCTACAGTGCCTAGCACAGCAATGGATATATAGTTGACATTCAATATGTACCTAACTAATTTTATCATTGCCAAATACATTTTTCTTATTCTTGAGTTTGATAATAATAGCCATCTTTAATTGAGTTCTTATATGCCAGACACTGTTCTAAATTTAGCTTCATATTATCTCATTTCATTCTCACAACAACCACATATAAGTTCTCTTGTTATTCTCATTTTTAAGGTGAGGAAACTGAGGCACAGAGGAGTAGGATTTTTTGCCAGGATCACGAAGCTAGAAAATGGTGGAACCAGGAATAACACATAGGCAGTCGTAATTTAGTCTTTGCTCTTAACCATTACATATTCTGTCACTGGTATGGTAAATGGAAGATTATACCTTTGTTATTTAGTACTCATTTTCAGTTTAGTCTGGAGCTTTACTATTGTAATACAGTGGTTTATTTAAAAATATTTATAGATTTGAGAGGAGAGAGAGAACTGTCGCTTTATTGTTCCACTTATTTATGCATTCATTGGTTGCTTCTTTTTAAAAAATATATTTTATTGATTTTTTACAGAGAGGAAGGGAGAGATAGAGAGCTAGAAATGTCGATGAGAGAGAAACATCGACCAGCTGCCTCTTGCACACCCCCTACTGGGGATGTGCCCGCAGCCAATGTACATGCCCCTGACCGGAATCAAACCTGGGACCCTTCAGTCCACAGACCGACGCTCTACCACTGAGCCAAACTGGCTTTGGCATTGGTTGCTTCTTGTATGAGCCCTGA